CACAAGAGTGTCCCACAAGAGTATCCCACAAGAGTGTCCTACAGGAGTGTCCCACAAGAGTGTCCCACAAGAGTTTCCTACAAGAGTGTCCCACAAGACTTTCCCACAAGAGTGCCCTACAAGAGTGTCCGACAAGAGTGTCCTACAAGAGTGTCCCACAAGAGTGTCCTACAAGAGTGTCCCACAAGAGTGTCCCACAAGAGTGTCCGACAAGAGTGTCCTGCAAGAGTCTCCCACAAGAGTGTCCCACAAGAGTGTCCCAAATGAGTGTCCCACAGGAGTGTCCCACAAGAGTGTCCCACAAGAGTGTCCCGTATGAGTGTTCCACAAGAGTGTCCCACAAGAGTGTCCCGCATGTCCCACAAGAGTGTCCTACAAGAGTGTCCCACAAGAGTGTCCCGTATGAGTGTCCCACAAGAGTGTCCCGCAAGAGTGTCCGACAAGAGTGTCCCAAAAAAGAGTGTCTCACAAGAGTGTCCTACTAGAGTGTCCCACAAGAGTGTCCCGCAACAGTGTCCCACAAGAGTGTCCCACAAGAGTGTCCCGTAAGAGTGTCCTACAAGAGTGTCATTTGGACATATGTAGCTTTTTGAACGTGTTTGCATTCGGGTTCGTGGGCTCCATCTTGTTTTTTTTTTTTGGTTCCCCTGCTTGCAGCGCTTGCAGCAGCGCAGAGTTCTCACACTTGTACCAGTGAGGCCAAGAGCATTGGCAAGTGCGTGTAAAAATCATGAGTAGAACATGTGGCAACGCTTTTTCTTTATGGCAGAAGCAAGGCTGGCAAACCACACCACTGGAAAGAGCGCTCATTTGCTGGTTTTTCCAGCATAATAGGCCCATGGTGCGCAAGTGCAAAGAAGGATATAAACTTGCAGCTTCCTGCTTCTGCAAATCCTTTTTGGTTTCGGAGTAGCACCCGATCACCCCAACATCCTCCACCATGCACTCATGCCTGATCCATGTCCTTTTGTTGGTTTTGGTCCATGTGGGTGTCCAGGACTGCAGTGGGTTGTACTTTGACGTTTCTGGGTTTCCAAGAGGAGCACTGGGTAGATCCCGATCGACATAGGCCGAGGACGTTTATCCACCAGCTTTACGGTGCTGTCATGATTCAATTGCATGTGCAGAAGGAGTCTTCCTTGCACATCCTTCTCCAGGAAAGCTCAAAGACCAATCCTAGCAGCTAGTCCAAGGACCAAGTGAAACCTGTTCCGACCGACCTCATTGAGTACTGTTTTTGCATGACAAACCCGACATGGTTTTGCAATTGCTTTTCATCACCGGCTAGGCCATCACGGTCACATGTAGGTCAGGGGAAAAGCAATCAGGGTGGTGATTTTAAGAACCCCATCGGACAGAACTTCTGTGCATTTGGCAGCTCACAAGTGGGGCACCTGGTTTCAGAGCTGGTTTGCCCAGTCTCAGGGTGCTTTTTCCTGATCCATTGCGATCACACACCCTCGAAATACTGCTTTTACCGTGCGGAACGACGATGGTTTTAAAAGTAGCATGCACGGTGGCATGATTCCTGAGGCTTTTCTGGCGTGCATATTTTTGGCGTGCTACTTACGGCTGGAATGCTTGCACAGCCGAGAAGACCTCAGGAGTCATTTACAATTATAAGAACTGTACCTTTTGCAGATGCGCGGGCTGCTATGAGGGCGCCGCGTTCTTGTTGTCCTCCAACAGAACCAAGCTCACGGCCAAGCCACATGGGCAAGTCCGGAGCTGATGGAGGCGAAGGATTGCAATGCATTCATATGAATCGCCAAATGGAACATGCCTGGATCTTCTTTAAAAACTATCGTGAATGTGACGTTTCTTTCGGGGTGGTGCACGACACGATCGAAATCAGTGTCAGCCCTTGTTTGCAGAGCGTCGCTGGTCCGCAATGATTTCTTGGTGAAGGTGGGGGTGGGTTGATCATCCAAGGGTGAATATTGATGAGATCTGTTCAGTATTGATGGGAACCCAGAGCCTCTCATGCAAAGATTTACAAGCCGGGCCAAGCATATCAAAATAACGGATTTTTGCCTTACGCAAGGGGTTGTCCCAGTTAGTTTTCTCTCAGTTCAATGGCTGAGACATGGTTTGATACTCCGGTAGATTCGTGATCGGATCATCTGGTGGAAGTCCAGGTGCTAGGATCAGCTGCTCTCCTTGTTGGAGGGGAGTTCGCTTGCACACCTGAAGAGAAGGTGTGGCAGCGGGCGCGGCCAAGAACTTCAAGCCCTGTGCTGGTTTGCCACGCACCCCTTAATAAAACGGGTGACCAGGCTCAAGCGCACAAAACATCATGACACTAACAATATAGTATTAAAATTATATAATTATGTACATTCTTGCGATGGTGAACTGATGTTGATCCCTATCAAAGGACGAGAATCTTGAGCCGCAGGTTTCTGGGGTTATGTGGCCTTTGCATGGTTCGGTTTCTATCTCCATCAGTTTTGTGCCCCAACATCGGTTTGGGCTTCATGCGACGCCGCTTGCGCTTTGGGACCTCGGCCAGTGAGGAGCCTTCTTGGGAAAGTAGGAGCACGTGGCGTCAAACGGAAGTGTTGCAACCCAGCACCCTTCGCTATTGGACACAAGGACGCCACTTGGGGAACAGTTGTTTGGGTTGACCAGCTCGGAACAAGTTTTCCGCCCCAGGTGCACATTGGACAGCAAGACTTGCAAGACTGAGAATCAACATTCTAAACAAGCAGACGTGGGCCACGAGGTGATCAGACAAAATTCTTTTGGACTTTTGGTGAGACATTTACAAGGATCTTCAATGTAAGATTAAGGACATTCAAGGACATTGGTAGGACTTGTGAGGTGATTTCCGATCTTTAAACGGATTCAATGTGAGATCTGGAACTTTGGGACAAACAATTCTCATCATTTTTGGGACGAGCCAGCAGTTGGCTTGGCCCTGTTTGACAATCGGGGAATGCGCGGCACTTAATTGGCATGGGGTTTACATAGGACCGTGCCCGAACCTGGATCAGCAGGCTGAATTGGATCGAAAGTGCAGCTTTATGTCTAGGCATATCTAGACACACGTGTTACATATCTACATAACTGAATAAGATATACGCAGATTAGATATGATCTGAAACCATCCCTCTCTCTCTCTCTAAGCTACTGCTGCAATTACATTGCACGCGTGACCGAGATGGATTGGCATCATCCTGCTGACCGTGTAGTGGTTCGTCGCAGAAACTTACCGGAACCCAAGCTGATGGTTTCGAGGAAAATCCTCAAACTGGGTCTGAAGTTTGGACACAAGGAGAAGCTGAAGCTGACAGCAACAGTGCGAGAAAACATTGCAGGGCAAACATGGGCGTGAAATGCATTTCCCTTTCATGCAAGGTCTCATACATCAACCAGCGCCTTGAAAAAGGACCAACGGCCCGACCGTGTGGATTTTTATGATTCCGCCGCTCGCATGGGACTTGCTGGTTGTGTCATGTTGTGCCCTTGTAGTTTGTTTTCGTGCCCGTCGCCCGAGGGGAGCATGTTGTAATAACTCTGATGCCAACTATCCACACTTGATCATACCCTCAAGCTCTCAGGCAATCCATCCCCACGGTCTACACGGTGCAATTTGGACTCACAGAGAATCAGTAACTGCAGTATACCACTGTGAATCAGTGAAGGTATTTGGGATTTGGTTATCACAGAGCTGGACCGTGAATGAGCTAGGTATGTGCAGGGAGAGGCTATGTCAACACGTCATCGGCAGATAGATGGTTGCAGCATAGGCCGATGTTGTTTGTGACTTTTGTAGTGTGGCTGAAATGACAGATTTCATGATGATGCATGGCTCAAAGAGGTGCCATTCGTCATGGCAGGGTCCACTCATTGAAGCATTCAGGAGACTAGGTCAAGCTCGGACCGCACAGGCCGGAGCGCTCAATGCACGTGATTTCACAGCCCAAGTGCCTTACAGCTTCTCCTCCTCCGTCCCCACCTGTTCACCTCTGGTGCCATGCAGATCGGATATCTCGGTGGAGCGGTCCGGGCGTACAGCCCGGCGTGGTCTCGGACGGAGCGGACGCGGGGGAACCCCGCCGTGGTGGGAGGACCTGGTGATGCGAGGGTAATGTGGAGTAAACGATACTTGTTGGTGGTTTCCAGAAGTAATTAGATGATTCAGTCCCCAAGTTCGGTGGTTTAGATGGACCCCATAGAAAGGATATTTTGGGGGTTGTGTCATCTATGTACTCTGAACCCCCGTGTGCTATTTGAGATATTTGAGTTCGTTTCATTAGTTCTGCCTCTGAGCCCTGCCATGCCACGAATCGCGCGGTTACAACTTACGGCACCCACTCTTTCGGAGACATTGCACCGACAGATGTCGGACAAAAGGCTTCGAGATAGAGATCTGGGGACCGAACGAGGCAGTCTGACACGAGGTCAGGTGATGAAATAAAACGGCCCAGTCTCGTGAGGACCACTTAAGCTGGAAAACCACTCAGATTCCAGGCTTTCCTGGCACACTTGGACGAACATGCAAGTGCATGGCATTGACGTGACTGGAATCAGATGGAAGACGTGCTTTGCTTTACATAATGCGCTTTCTAATTTCTTTATTGTTACTTTTTCCACTTAATCAGTTGAAGTGTTGAACATTTCTTCTATACGCTTGAATCTTCTAAGAACCCTCTCCTCCCTTGGGCAACCTTTAGTGGCCTGAGGTGGCTGGAGCTGCCGCTGGGGCGGATGCCTGAGGGAGGGATGCTGCAGGATACCGGGGAAAGACCAGCGAACGAAGCAGGCACACCTTGTTCCGCGGCGTGTGTCCATGCACATCTATTATATATATATCACGTTACTACTATACTAGCTACACTACACTTTTATTACTATACAATGCAATTGCCATTGTTGAGTTATGAGTGCATACAAATAGTGCTTCATGGCTCCAAACACCACACCTGAAGAATACATACCAACGGCATTTTGTAATCAATCTATGATCTATTTTGCAGAGAGGTGGGCTCAACCCAGGACAGGTTCAGCACTGAATGTTGCGGAAAAGTGTGCGTACTACGACCGCTCACAACAAGTCTTCTGAGATTGTTCTATAGGTTAAGGGAACTTTGAACAGACCTAACCTGTTGGGTGGGGTATTTCTGTGCCCTGACGCCGTTTCCGACTGCCGCGGCCACAGCAATACTCGAGGTTCAAGCGGTCTTCGAGTACAACCAGAAAAACTTTAAATATGACCGTGAGATGCGTCAGGCCTTATTTTGAACGGCTTTTTTGGTGAGAAATAGTACCACACGAAAAGCAACCCAGACGGAAGATGATGGAAGAGGAACAACGAAACAAATTAACTGACTGGGTGCTTCTTGGAGCTCACAGCATGAAAGCGGGTTCCTGAGTTCCTTCGCCAAGCGCCACACGTGCCAGAAAACGGAGTTCAAGACGAGGGAGTGGAGAAATGCTCAATGTGACCTCTGGCGCCTGGAGCCCCAGGCTGCGCCAGGCACGCCGTGCCAGCATGACCATGGCACCCAAGGCCCCCTGCCACATGGAAGGTGCTGACATGCATGAAATAAAACGTGCAGGTCTTGTTAGTTGTATGATAGCTCCCAGGACGAGACCCTTTTGAGGCCTGTGATGCAAGGTAGCAAAATCGCACGTGATTTGAGCGATCCTAATCTGGGAGAAGCTGTGGTGAAACCCGCGCAAGTGAGCGATGTTCACACGGGAGAAACACAGGATTCGCAACTGCCAAAATGTGCAATGACAAATTTAGCAAAGAGCCCGAGCGGTCGTGAATCTCAGGAATTGGGCTAAAGCGATAGGCCCCCCTCAAAAGCGATAACCCTGTTTCCGCATTGTTTTTTGATATGTTCAGCTATGTTGACATTGTGGCTAAAACCTGCAATAGCGATAGGCCCCCTCAAAAGCGATAGCCTTGCGACGTCATGATGTCCTTTGATTGACAGTACGTCTTGGCAGACGCTCGGAATTTGGAGGGGTCGAACGATGGAATCCCAAACGAACGCTGCCATCATCCAACAGATGTGGCTGAAGCGAGGGAGCCCGCCCGCCAGCAGCCGGTCACGGATGGCCGGTTCGGCTTTGATATGTTTGGACGGACCCACTTGTGACCCAGCTCTGTCCAGCTCAGACCATCCAAGCACTTTCTAACAATTCTTGGGCCAAGCTGGGTTGCAAGGCACCATGACTCTACAGTACTCTATGAGAATTGCGTATTGTGTCCCCGATTGGCACGGAGCTTGAAGGTCTGTGATTTCCCTCCGCCATTCTTCCCAACGCCGATCCCCTGCACCGGATCCTGCGGTTTGATCATCGGGCGCGTCGAGGGGATGACGTGCGGGAGATCATCGGGTTGACCGAGAAGAAGATGGATAGCTACCTGGTGGTCCGGACTCTTGGGGAGGGGTCGCTGGCGGTGGCTGGCGGTCCTTCTTTTGAGCAGAAGTCCCACGACGTCCAGTAGTTTCTGTTTGCGGCTCCAGTTTGGGGTCATATTGAGCAGCTCTGGGGTGTATAGCGCGGGCCCATGGACCCTCCAGCCACTTGGAAGTATCTACGGCTACTCATGACTTCGCTCTATATTCAACGATGGGTTGTCTCAAAATGAGGGTGCCCAATAAAGCTCCCCGCCGTGAGCTGGCAGGAGTCCGGAGGGAGGATAGAGCCCAACGTGGCAAAACCCCTATGCTTCCAGGAAATCCCTGCTGTGAGAATATTTTTTGACCAAGGTTCGGGAGTAGGTGTTCATTCGCAGTGACTTCAGAATATCAGTTTGCTTCAGCTTGTTCTGAGCAGGACGCCCAAAGCCCTTCGTGGAGATGGTTGGGACCTGTAACAGGAAGATTTGGACTGAGCCAGCCTTTCGGGTTGACCGCGGACCCATGTC